GCCGTGACTGGTTTCCTAGTGTGCATGAAGAATGTTGCCTGCCACATCAGTAAACAAAGGATGTTGTGGCCCTCAAGCCATGAGCCCATTCAGGATAGAGAAAAACAGAATAGTGACCCTACACAGTTAAGGTGCATATCAAAGGAATGATTTCAGTGAGCCCAGACTCTTGCATCTTCCTATATATAGAAAAGCACTAAGTTCATTAATTTGATGTTTGTTTTTTTTCTTTAATTAGCAGAAATCTTTTGATATTCAACTACGTGATTTGTTTTTGCAGAACTCCTATATACCCTGGCTCCTTCCTTATTACCTCTTTGGCACAGTCTTTCAGAGCTATCTGAGAGCCTGCCTCCTGGGCTTAAAGTCCTCAGTATGTCTGTGGAATAAAACATAAACACTCGACTTTTTGGATGTGTGTTTTTTTCAGTTGACACTAGTCTACATTTTCTGTAGCCATTGAGCAAATAAGATGCAATTGACCAAAGTTTTGTTACTTTACCTAGTTTATCTAAAACATTTTAGAGAAGTTAAATGTCTTAATTGCATGTGACTGGTACATCTAGGCCACGCTTGACACCATTAACGCTCCCCTCCCTTGACTTTCATGACACTGCCCTTTCCAAGTTCTCCTACTTTATTGGCCTTTTCCATGGGATTTTCCTCCTCTCAGTCTTGGCATTAGTTTCCCTCCAAAGTTTTCTGTCCTTGAACTTATCTTGGAGGTCTCCTGTGTGTTCTTTTTGGGCAGCCCTGACCCCTCTTAACTTTCACAGTTTGTGTATTTGGATGACTCACAGACATCTTAAACCCATTATTTTCAAGACTTTTATTCATTTCCTTTCCACCAATCATCCAGCCACTGGCCAACCTCTTCACTGTTTGTATTTCTGTCTCAGTTGAAGGCACCCTAGCTGTTTTCCCTCCTTTCACTGCCTCTGCTCTAATTTGCAACTTTATTCTGTTGACGATTCAGATACAGTACCATCCTCACTATGTTAAGCAGAAAGATTTCAGTTGTTGGAAAGGCTGGAGGAACAGCTGCTACCCTGGCCACCCTCTGGGCAGTTAGGAGCCAGGAATCCTAGCTGCTGCTCCTTGTCACACCCACCATAGCCTTGTGACCTAGGAGTAAATGATTACTTGTTGTCTCTTATGTAATTTCCTTCGCTCCAGTTTCTGCTGCCTTCAGGTTATCCTCTGCATAAAGTTATTTTCTAATACTGTGTGTTTATGTACATTTGAATGCAAACTAAGTTTCTTCCTCAGCATCAAAGGCCACAACCATTTGACCTTTAAAATTTGGGGCCTTTAATACCCTGCCCTCATCTCTCATCTCCTCATCCCTACCCTGCTCTACTGGGTGGCTGATTATTTCCTGAACACCTGCTGATTTGGGGGCTTGTTCAAGCTGTGTGGTATCATCTATTCAAAATCTCCATTCCTCTGCCCTTCCTGTCCCCGGACTTTTAAGATCATAATAAATTGCTGTTTGCTTCAAGAGGATGTCTCAGAAAAAGCCAGAACTAGCCTCTACCTTTTACTGTACTCTTCGTGAAACACTTTATACTCAATGATTAGTACTTATTAAAGTTTCATAGTTTTAGTTCTTATATTTAGGCCTGTGATCCATTTTAAGTTAATTTTTTGTATGGTATAAGAAAGGGGTTCGTCTTCGTTGTTTTAGGTGTAGATGTCCAGATGTTCCAGCACCATTTGTTGAAAAGACTGTTCTTTCCCTATTGAGTTTTTCTGCCATCTTGTTGGAAAGACTCTTCTTTCCCTATTGAGTTTTTTTTGCCATCTTGTTGAAAATCAGTTGTCCATAATAGAAAAGTTTATTTCTGGACTCTCAATTTTATTCTGTTAATCGATATATATGTACTTTTTCTAGTACCACACTGTCTTGATTAATATTGCTTTGTATTAAGCTTTGAAACTGAGATGTGTGAGCACTTCAACTTTGTTCTTTTTCAAAAGTTTTGGCTGTTCTGGCTACTTTGAATTTCCGTGTGAATTTTAGGATCAGCTTACAAAATTCTCTAAAAGTCAGCAGAGATTTTGATAAGCATCGTGTTGAATCTGTACATCAGTTTGGGGAATGTTGCTATTTTAACAATATTAGGTTTTAAAATCCATAAACAGGATGTTTTCTATTTAGGTCTTTAATATCTTTAAACAATGTTTTGTGGTTTTCATAGTACAAAGCTTGCACTTCTTGTTATATCTAATCCTAAGTATCTTTGAAAGTGTTGTAAATATAATTGTTTTCTTCATTTTCCCATTATTCATCGCTAGTGTGTAGAAATACAGTTTATTTTTGTATATTCATCTTATATCCTGCAACCTTTGCTGAATTCTTTGTTCCATTAGTTTTTCAGTGGGTTCCTTTGGATTTTCTATATTACAGTCATATCATCTGTGGATAGAGATAGTTTTTTAAATCACAGTTGTTTTTAAATTCAAGATGCAAACATGCAGAATTAAATTTCAGAGTACTTAGTGAGATAACATCATTCTCCTGGGTTATTAAGGTGCATCTATTCTTTGCAGTTCTGATGTCCTGAAAGTATTAGGGCCGTTGTTTTCGTTGTGCCACTTTTCTGTACAGAAACCTTCAGTGGCTCCCCATGCCCTTTCTGGCAGAAATCTAGATTCTTTGGACTCAGTTCTTCAGGGTACTACACAATACGTTGTTGAAGAAAAGAGCTTGGAATGGTGAACAGAGCCCAGAGGTCAGTTGGGAGTCCTGGCTTCTCACCAGCTGTGCATGAGCAAATTCGGAGGTGTCCCTTTTCTTGTAAAGTTGCAGAGTTTGACTTTTAATTTTTTAAGAATGGTTTCCTTTAGTTCTCTGAACATATTTATAATAGCTGCTTTGATGCGCTGTCTGCTAAGTCTGACATTTGGATCCTCTCAAGGAGGACTTCTGTTGCTTGCTTTTCTCCCTGTGTGTGGGTCATACTTTCCTGTTTGTTTGCATGCCTCATAATTTTTTGTTGTAGACTGGACATTTTAGATATTTTTGTAGCAGTTCTGAATACGGATTCCGCCTTCTCCTTTTCTGCACTTGCTTGTTTGCTTGCTTGTTTGCTGACTTGGCTGACCGGTTTTGGTGAAGTTTACTTTTTCTGCAGCGTGCATCCTCTGATGGGGCTCCTTCAAGGGCATAGCCTTGGGAACACGCACAGTTACTTTGAAGTACCTTCTTTCAGGGGGTGACAGCACGGTGGTTCTTGTAGGGCTCCCTTTAACGGTCTGCCTCCCTGGTGTGCCTCTTGGCACCACACCCAGCAAATATTCTCCACTGATAGCTAGTCGATTGTTCTATTGTTTTGCACAGTGCCCTGGGCTATAAGTTGCCCCACAGGGTGATCCAGTTAAATTAGATGGTCTTTGTAGGGGTTGTGTTTGAGGCCAGTCTTTGAGCTGCGCTAACTCTAGGAGGGCTCTTCCTAGCTGTCTCTTTCCGTGATTCCATTGAACTTCTCTGGATCCTTTCTTTTGCTTGTTCCTGTTGTGGAACTACCAGCCTCATCTTAGTTGCTCACCACTAAAGTCTCCATTGTTTTCCATAGTGCCATTAGGCTTGAACTTCTCTGTTCTCTGTTCCAACTAAGGTCAGTCCTCTTAGGGATTGCTGAGTGGTTCTATGTTCTTTCAGCCTGCTTCTCTGGCCTGGGGAGAACCTCTGTGCCATTGCTCCAGAGCCAGGGGCAGGGGCAGCAGCTTGTCCTCTGCTCTGTGAGTGGGATCCTGGGCTTGGCTGTAGCCAATGGTCTCTAGAGCTTCTCTCCCTGCATCCACCTTACGAATCACGGTGCCCAATAGCCTTGGTCTGCTGCGTCTGCAGTAGAACTTCTGCCCTGAGTGGAGACTGGGTGAAAGAAGGGATTCCTCAGATCTCTCGGCCACACTTTCCTAGAATAGAATTTCTACGACATGGAGATGAAGAATGCTAGAAATCATAATCCTGGATTTAGAGCTGGGTGGAGTAATCAGTTAGTAGTTAGCTTCAGTTTTGTTTCTTCAGAAATGATACTGTCACCTACCTACCAAACAAAGGCTGTGTCCTCTGCCTCCTGTTCTTCTTCCCCACTCTCCCTCTCCCTTTAAGTCTCAGCTCAAGTATCACTGGCCAGGGAGGCTCTCGTGGACCACCCACATACTAGAGCACCTCTTTAGCCTTGCCTGGTCACCTAGTATTTCCCTTACTGGGTTCATTTTTCCCTCTTAGGGTTTCTCACCATCTGGTGATATTTGTTTACCTCTCCCAAGGGATGTATAGGTTCCATGGGAAGAGAGACTTAGATTGTTTCCTTCACTGTTTTATAGTCCCTGTACTTAGAACAGTGTCTGACACATAGTAGATTCTCAATAAATCTGATAAAGGCAACATATAAAATGTCCAAAGTCTGTTGTCTTCTTGCTTCACAATTTAACCTGCCTAAATTGAAAAATATCTAGAATCACTGTGGGAAGTGAATTTCATATTGTTTGCTAACTCCAATTGCTTGTTGCTGCCTAGAGTGGGAGAAGTGGGCTCCCCGGGAAAGAAAGCAGTGATGATTCAGCAGTGGCTGCAGGGGTCGGGAGAGAGGAGAGTGTGGCATATGTGCTAAGTGTCTGCCATCTCTAATGTAATGAGACACTGAAGAACAGGAAATGGGTGCATTGTTGGTCTCCATTCTCTTGTAGGTCTTCTGGCTTGCTTCCTCTTCACCACTGGGAAGTATTTGTGGTTACTTGGGGTTGTTGGAAAAGCCACCTGTTTACAGAATGATGTGGAAACTTTTCTGTAGAAATCCCATTGTTAATAGATATGGCATAAATCTGTATCCTATAAATATCAAGAGTGGACAGGACATTGCTGGCGGCCAGTATACTAGCTGCTGCTTATTGGGAGAAAAAATCGTGTGCCTATCTGATATGAAGACTTTTTCTTTAAAGTTACTTAAGAATGATTTTTTGACTAATAACTTTCTTTCTTTTCCTTCTAGATTCTTACAGAAATCTGTTAATTCTACTTTTTGAGCACTATGAATAACCACATATCTTCAAAGCCATCGACTATGAAGCTAAAACATACCATCAACCCCATTCTTTTATATTTCATACATTTTATAATATCACTTTATACTATTTTAACATATATTCCATATTATTTTTTGTCTGAGTCAAGACAAGAAAAATCAAACCAAATTAAAGCAAAGCCTGTAAATTCAAAACCTGAGTCTGCGTACAGGTCTGTTAACAGCTTGGATGGTTTGGCCTCAGTATTATACCCTGGATGTGATACACTAGATAAAGTTTTTATGCACGCAAAAAACAAATTCAAGGACAGAAGACTCTTGGGAACACGTGAAATTTTAAATGAGGAAGATGAAGTGCAGCCAAACGGAAAAATTTTTAAAAAGGTAATGTGGTTTTTTATTGCCTTTGAATTCGCTCTGAGTAGAATGTACGCTTAGAAATGGTGGCAGGGGACAAGCACGGCCTGCTTCTGTTGGAATTTGCTCATGTGGCAGGAGAAACGGGGTAGAAGGGGACTAGACTGCACTTTCTTCTCCTTCTGTACCCCCGGCATGGATTTGTTCCGAATTTTCACGAAGACCTTGAGATCACTCACTGGTGTGGGGCACTTCTGAGCCTGAATGGCTACCAGGACTTGGAATAGAATGTCTAGGGCAGTTTGGGGTTTGAAACTATATTCCCTGGTAGTTCCAGAGGCACCTGTGAGCTCCAGATTGCTCTAGGTTTTGGGGTGTGACCTGCTTTTTCTGATTACAATGTAGGTTCCATTGGATACAAAGTACTTTGGTACTTTGGTTTGTGGCAAGTGCTTTGGTTTTCTAAGAATTTCTTTTCACAGATACAGAACTTGCCATTATTGATTTGAAACAGAGGATAAGACCTCCTTAGAGGCAGTGTAACAGTGCTTAAGAGCCTGGACTCCAGATACAGACTGTGGGTTCGAATCTCGGCTTTGCCACTTACTAGCTGTGTGTGACTTCCGAAAAGCTACATAACGCATTTGCCTCAGTTTCTTTAACATGGAGGTAATGATCATTGCTGACATTTATCAGCATTTCTTATGAGCCAGGCTGTTTTAAGAGCTTCACACACATCAACTTATTTAAGACTTACACTAGCCCTACGGGTTAGTGTGATCGGGATATCCCTCCTTTACAGATGATGGCATTGAGGCACAGATAGGTTAGGTAACTTACCCGAGGGCATTATAGCTAGCAGGTGGTGAAGCTGGGACCAGAACCCAGGGTGTCTAGCTCCATACTCCTTAAATAATCCCAGCTCAGAGTTGTTGAGAGGATTAATAGATAGAGAAAGGGAGTGAGAATGTGTGTGTGTGTACATTCTACAAGTATGTGCGTGGAACAGTTTGTGGTATCTAGTGTAAATGCTCTAGCTTTTATTATCATCTTGGGAATTCACTGGGCAAAATTGTATGAATGAATCTAAAGACTTGTATCATGGAGTAGTGCAGCCCTGTGAAGGGTAATAAGTATAGAAATGCCATGAAAATGCTGTTTATGAACTTGGGTGAGTTTCTTATAAACGGTTCTTGAAGTTCTGGTAGGTGAGAATTGAAGATAAAGTGTTTTTAGAGGCAGTAAGATGATCTGTAGTTAGTTGATAATTTGGTTAGGTTATAGGTGTAATACCTGTGTAGGCACAGTTATTTTTCCCTTACCCTCTTTTTCCAACTACATCCTGACTCCAGCTGTCTTTTTTCTGTTAATCATGAAGGAACTCTCAGATCTTGGAGGAGAGTCCAAGTAAGCACAGCCATGGAATGAAATGCTCAGATTTACTCCTGTTACTGCAGAATGTGGGGAGGGGAGTGAGAATGGTGTTGTTTGACTTAATGGTCCATTAATGTTGCCACTTACCACACAAATTCCAGTCGTCATCTTCTAAATGTAAAGGAGATGGCACGCAAGTTAATAATCAGTGACGCCTAGAAACTCAGAAACATTATTTTAACTCTAGACGACAGAACCTGTATGTGTTCCTAACCTTCAAATGGAGTGATGTTTTATCCTGTTGTGCCTGGAACCCTCCTGACTTACACTGGTTGTTCTGGCATTAATAGTGCCCCCTACAGTCGCCAGCGTGATTTGGATAAATCCTGTGGTCACTGTACTTTTAAGGCATTTTCCCTGTTTCTTTTGGTGACTTAGTTTTGCCTCACTTAAATAATTTTTTCCCCTTTTTTTTGCTAAATTAAGATCTAGCTGGGGTTAGTTAATAGCACATTTTGAGAAATTGAAGTCATGCAGTTAAGCATGTTTGATTACTCTTCTCTAGCCTATAGATTATAATTTGCAAGACACTTTATCATAATGATGTCTGATTTTTGTCATATTTAGTTGCTGCTTTTTATGGTGTACCTTCCTTGATTCTGTCTTTGCGAGATCTGGTAGTTATAAAAGGTACTGAAAACACTACATTTTTTAAGTGCTAAAGTTTTCCACTCCTCTGCCTTCTTTTCTGTGCTTTTTGTATCTAAAATAAACATTCATTTTTGTCCTTTGACAATTCCTACTGCTATTTGAATTCAAAGATTGGGTTCTCTTACTTTTAATGAAAGCATATATAACAAATCCTGTTTTAGCAGGAAGCTTATTTTCTCTCTAGTATCCTGCACACACTACAGGATAGTGTGTGTAGGATACACACATTACATGCATTTTATGGAGCTAGCACTTTCAGTCATCCAGTACTCAGAGCAGCAGACTGGTTCCCGAGTATATAAAAAGGAGAAGAATATGGTGAACATGAAATTCTTTCTTAATTCAGGTGTCAGTATCATTAGGACAAAATAAAATCCTAGAGCTATCATAGTTGTTCCTTAAATGTGGCCAGATAGGGCTTCGCTGGTGGCGCAGTGGTTGGGAATCTGCCTGCCAATGCAGGGGACGTGGGTTTGTGCCCCGGTCTGGGAAGATCCCACATGCCGCGGAGCGGCTGGGCCCGTGGGCCACGGCTGCTAAGCCTGCGCGTCTGGAGCCTGTGCTCCATGGCGGGGGAGGCCGCGACGGTGAGAGGCCACACACACACACACAAAAAGTGTGGCCAGGTAATGCAATGGACACAAGCAAAGTTCTTCTTCTTTTTTTAAAAAAATTAATTAGGTTGTGCTGGGTCTTAGTTGCGGCACATGGGCTCCGTAGCTCTGGCTCACTGGCTCCCTAGTTGTGGCATGTGAACTCTTAGTTGTGCCATGCCTGTGGGATCTAGTTCCCTGACCAGGGATCAAACCTGGGCCCCCTGCATTGGGAGCACAGAGTCTTAACCATGGCAGGACCAGGGAAGTCCCGACACAAGCAAAGTTCTTATGCCCTGTGTATGGGTGTGTGTGTGTGTGTGTGTGTGTGTGAGAGAGAGAGAGAGAGAGAGAGAGACAGACAGAGACAGAGAGACAGTGTGTGTGTGTGTGTGTGTGTGTGTGAGAGAGAGAGACAGAGACAGAGAGAGAGAGAGACAGAGACAGTGACAGTATGTGGCTCTTTCCTCCCTGTCTTGACTGTGGTGCCTTTGTATTCATTGTTTATTCAACAAAGAAATATTTGAACTCTAGTAGAAAAGTTAGAAGATGAGAGAAACCATTTTCAGTTAGCACCCTTTTCTGTCTATACTACATCACTGTCAGAGGGTGTGCCTACCATTGACATTTGCCATTAACTTCGCATTTGTGATTCATCAAACTTTTTTCAGAAGTCTTTAATATAAACTCTGGTGTAGAAAACATATTTTTTCTTGTTTGAAATTAGACTCATTGGGAAAGTAGGTTTTGTGTATCATAAACAAAGCAAATATTTTTTGTTAGCCTTACTTGAGAAGGTGTGCTGTACCACTGGTTAGCCAAGACTTCAGTTTCTGTTGGTCTGCATTGCAACTGTAGCAGTGGTCTGTAGACTGGATAAGGGGGTATCTCCACTGTGTATTAACCTAGGCTGCCCCGCCCTTGGTTTCTTATTTAACACCCATTGTACTGCAGCAGCTGCTATGGAAGGAGAGTGAAAAGCGGACCTTTCACACCCTGCCCTTAGATGTAAAAATGGAGGTGCTTAGGCAGTGTGGCCTCTGCTCAGAGTGCTTACTAAGAGTGGAACACATACGTAATCTTGATGGAGTGTACCTTCATTTAATAGTTTCCATATTTGAAGATAATCTTATATTGGAAAATAAAGCTAGTGATTAGCAATATCTAAAAGTTTTCTCCCTGTTTTGGGGGACTGAGCTTTGGGGATTAACCCTAGAGTGTATCTGGCATGGTTGAAACAAAGATGCCCAAAGCTTTATCAAATGAATGAACTCTGAAGCTTTGTTTCTGTCTTATCCTAAAAGTCTCTTTTTGAGCTTCCAAGGGAAGGTAAGTGAAGATGCCATGGTTCCGCTGTAATTAGGCCCAGGATACTGCGGCCATCAGCTTCACCAAGACAAGTTTCCCGAGGGGCACAAACAGAAGAACAAACAGCGAAGAAACAGAGGCGGCTGTGTTCCTGAGGCTTGGCCAGCTTTTCCAGGACTATATCATGCTGTCATTTTAAGTCTCATATGGTTTTATAAAACTGTGGCAGAGTGAAGCGTGTGGAATGTGTCAGTAGCTCCTGATTCCAGCCTTCCCAGCAGCAAGTGCTTGCACTGATGTCTTTTGAAATGAATTAACAATGAAATGATCAGTTTCCAGAACGTTTTAAAAATACATGTACCTGAAATAGAACAGAGTTGCAAAGAATAAAAATAACTTTGCAGTGAAACAGAAGACACAAGACCAGCTCAGACATTTAGTGATCTAACTTCCGGAGATACTTTATATCTTTTTCTCATATATTTTACACACCTTAGAGAGAAGAAACTAGAAGGAATTATGCAGTCATAGTGCTTAGAAAGAGAAGTTTCACTATGACTGACATTCCTTCTAAATTGATGCAAAAAGATACTAGAAATACTCCTTTCTGTTCTTAGGAGTTGACTTAAGCTTTCTTTTCCTCATTGCCTACTTTTGTGTTATTTCTTTCTTGAGTCATGTTTTTATCCTATTTGCATATGTGTATGGTATTTATTTTTTGACTTATTAGGATATTTACATAATTTATATAAAAAGTAATGGCTCATCTCTTGGCCAGAATTTGTGGTTGGTTATTATGTTAATACTCTCCCCAGCCAGAACGCTTGGTTTTCTTTTCCATACTTGCTCTCCTCCCTGTCATCCCCCTGTTTGTTAAAGGCACCGCTGTGTACCAGATGGCTCAAGTCAAAAACCAGGAGTCTGATTTTTTAAAATTTTCCCCTTAGAGCTCCCTCCACCCCGGCTCCCTTTTAAAAAAAAAAAAAAAAAAATCAGGTCTTCTGCTTCCACTCTTGCCTCTACTATAATCCACTCAAACACAGCAGTTGAAATGATATTTTACAGCTGTTAATCAGGCCACCTTACTCACTTGCCCAGCAACATCTCAACTCCTTTCTATAGTGCAGTTGGAGCATTGTGATTTAGTACTGCCTGGGTTCATATCCTAGTCCGTCACTTAATAGCTGTGGGATTTGAGCAAGTTATGTTTATTCTGTCTGTGCCTCAGTATTCTCATCTGTAAAATAGAGAGAATAATAGTAATTATCTTAGTTATTGTGAGAGAGAGTTACAGCATACCTAGCACGTAGTAAACACTAGTAAAGGTTAGCTGCCCTCATCGTCGCCATGGTTATTACCAACTGTCCAGATCTCTTGAATATTTTCACTCTCTGGCTCCCTCACAATAATTTGTTTGTAAAGATCTTCATTTGCGGAGGGAAAGGTTAAATGAAGCCAGATGTACTTTGTCGACAGTAGGAAAGTATATATTTTTGAGATATCTCTGTTCTGAATGGTTAAAGTAAAAGTTTTAGTGCTGATAGAGGTTAAACTCAGCTACCTGAAAACTTAACCTTTATAGAATATCTCATTCTTCAGGGCCCTGACTGGTTAAGTATTGTGTGATTTTGTTTTATGGAATGTTCTGTATCTTACCTCCATTTTAGTTTTATAGTTTCCTTTTGAGATAAGAGGCCTTCCTCATCAGCATAATCAAGGTATCTAATTTCATAGGTTCCTGAACAAAGGTAAATTATTAAGTTCCTATGTCCCAGGCAGTGATAGTCTGAGCGACAACATTGATACTTACATATGTGTATGTCACACCTGTCATAGAATGAATATACAGGCAATTAAACGTGAGAGAGGAAAGCGACTGTAGGGATCATTTAGCCTCCACGGTGGCCGTTCACGTAGCCACACTAGGCGTGCGTCTTCCTGACTCTTAGGACAGTCAAACATATTTATGTCTCATGGGTCACAGGTAAGAATATTTAAGAGGTGCTGGTAAAGGATGTATGCGATTGAATGGTGATGAGAACAAAAGAAGCCAAGGGAGTTAAATGATCAGGTGGATATGGACCTTTAAAAAAAAAGCCATCGGCTTCCCTGGTGGCGCAGTGGTTGAGAGTCCGCCTGCCAATGCAGGGGGCACGGGTTCGTGCCCCGGTCTGGGAAGATCCCACATGCCGCGGAGCGGCTGGGCACGTGAGCCACAACTACTGAGCCTGCGCATCTGGAGCCTGCGCCCCGCAACAAGAGAGGCCGCGACAGTGAGAGGCCCGCGCACCGCGATGAAGGGTGGCCCCCACTCGCCGCAACTAGAGAAAGCCCTCGCACAGAAACGAAGACCCAACACAGCCAAATAAATAAAATAAATTAAAAAAAAAAAAGCCATCTTTTAAACAAATGAGGCTGCTTAGAGGAGAGGTTGAAGACCCCGAGGCCCAGAGTGAATTGAAGTTGTTTCGTTACACCGGTCCGTTCCACACATTTAGCGAATAATTGCTGAGTGCCTGCTACATGCTAGTACCGTCCTAGGCACTGGGAGACAATAATGAACAAGACACACAGATTACTTTTTTCTGGATCTTGTATTGTATGGGAGGAAGAGAGACAATAATAAGGTAACAGATTTAATAACTGTCGTGAAGAAAGAAAGCTGATTGGAGATCAGTGATAGCCTCTCTGAGTAAGTGACGGCTAAGTGGAGGCCTGAAGGCCGGTAACGAGCCCTCTTTGCAGTGGGACAGGATTGTGCAGTGGCTCTAAAACAGGAATGAGCCCAGCTAGGGGAGGCACTTAGGGAGCAAAGTTCATGACGGCATTCAGACCCTGAGACCGAGTGCCTCCTTAAATTTCGTGCCCTGAGCAGCTGTTTTGCCTCATCTTGGGTCCTGCGCTGCCTGTTTGAAGGACAGAAAAGACAAAGTTGTATTTATAGGAAGTGAGTCAGGACAGAGGTTTTGAGATGGGCACAGAGACACTGGCAAAGTCTAGGACCCTTAAGGCTTTGTAGGCCAGGGTAAGGTTTTCCAACTCCATTCCTACTGGAAAGGGAAAACACTTGCAGAGGAGTAAGCCGATTTATGTTTTTCAAAAGCTCACTACTGTAGGGAGAAGGGGCTAAAGGGGAATAAGAATGGAAGTTGGCCAGTTAGCATTCCTTAGTTCAGGGGAGAGACGGACTAGGGTGACAGGGTGCAGGTGGAGGGCAGTGGTTGCATTGGGGGAATACCTGTTAGCTTAGTTGCATAATCAAGTGAAAAAGCAGGTTGGAGATCCAAGTATGGGTGGTCAGGACTAGAGATGGAAACTTGGGAAGCTCTTCAAATTAAAGTCCCAGTGAGTCGAGCTTTTGTCAGGGACACTTCAGCCACTGTGATACCGTGAGGGACTGCAAAGGGTATGGGTACAGGTATGTGTATGTAGGTTATTAAACTTGGTGGTAGGAAGGTAAGGGAGTTTCTGTTTAATTTCTGATTTCTCAGTGGAGTGTGAGGTAGTATCGTCACATGGAAGTGGAGAAGGGAGAGAAAGGGTAGAGAATATTTGAGTAGGGAGAAGGTTTCAGATAGCCATTTCAGAGGGTGAGAAAATGAATGTATCAGGGAAGCGTAATAGGATTGCTGGGTGGTGAGATCTGTGATCCTGGATTTAAAACACCTGGTTGGTGTTCTTCAGCAGTGTTCCACAGTATAGGCAGGGAATAGATACATGAGTTTAATCTCAGGATGGGCTAACCGTAGGGTCAAAGTTAGGATTTGAGACCTTTTCTAGCACAAGTCAGATAAAATTATGGGGTAGGTAGGGTCCCTTAAATGTAATCTTTATGGGAAAGATCACTCCTAGAAAATTGAGTGGTTTAAAGAATTAAATTCAGATTTTGGTTACACTTGAATTAAACTCATGACTTGATTTCTTTGCACCATCATTTATTTGGGTTTACATACATATTTGGGTTATATAGCTAAATGCTTTTTCAGAACACATATATTCTCTGAAGTTTACAAAACTCATTTAGATTCTAGAATCTAGGAGGTAGCTCATGCCTATCTTTGGAGTGTGAAATTCTTAATAATGGTGAATCCAGTTCCTACACGTTTCGGCCAGATTCTCATCTGCCTTCTCGCCGCCAGAGAGCTCCTTTTGAAGCCATTGGAGTTCTGCGTGCTGAGCATTTCATGGGGGTGCAGAGCAGGGTGAGGGTTTGGGACCCATTGAAGTTAAGTGAGCATTTTAATTTCAGCCGCTTTATCCAACAAAATGAGAATTTACTTCTCAAGTCCAGTTTGGAATAGGGCACTAGAGGGCAGTATTTAACTTTTTCCATTTGTATCTTCATCCAACCTCTGTTTTCTAGAAATCTCTTAAATATTATAAGCATTTTTGAAAATGAATATGGTTAGATGGTTTTAAGGCATGAGAGACGGATGTTAGTGATGCAGCCATGTTTGGGAACTGTCTATATTTTTGCAGCAAGAACAGCTTTCTGTCTAATCTGTATATAATTGGGGATTTATGGCCTGATCTAAGTTGGAGAAAATTCTTAAAGGTAGTTAAGAGGGGGTTGTTACTAATGTGAGCCTTGATGTCACCTGCACAAATAAAAGTCGAAAGCCCTGCCACGCCAGCGGGCATTCAACAGAGGGACTCTGGAAAATAGTATGACAACTCCCCACCTGGTCGTATAAATAGAGACTTGTTTACTTTGCTTATCCAGAGTTAGTTACAGCAGTTCCAACTGAACGGCCATAAGCATTTCTGTTAGCTTGGGTCTGCCAGTTGCTGTTTGTGAATCATGTTGTACTGTCTGATACTTAAATCCAGGAATTCATAAGTAGAGGGAAAGTAAAATGTTGGTATCAGTAGTACTTGACACTAGGTTAAATCATAAACTAGCATCTACATTGTTTAAGTAAGTGAAGTCTATAAATGAATTCTTAATATATGTGCCTTTGGCCAGAAAGTTGACATTTAAGATCCTGTCAAACCTTGAATAATTTTTTTTAAAGGAAAACAACCCCCCACCCCCAAATTACAGTTAAAGATTTGGCAAAAGATTTGAGTTGTCATAGAAGATATCACAAAAGAGCTAATTTTCAAAATAGACTTTCACTTGAAACTCACTTTCCAGCTTTTCGTTAGAACAAAATAGTATATATACAAACACAGCTTTCTGGTCTGTCAAAATGTGGAACACATCCTGGCTTCTTTCTAGAAATTAGTATCTTGGTTAATTTGAAAACCATTTTTGTATGCTTTCTGTTTTATCAGGTTATTCTTGGGAACTATAATTGGCTGTCCTTTGAAGATGTCTTCGTTAGAGCTTTTAATTTCGGAAATGGCTTACAGATATTGGGTCAGAAACCAAAGACCAACATTGCCATCTTCTGTGAAACCAGGGCTGAGTGGATGATCACTGCACAGGCCTGCTTCATGTATAATTTTCAGCGTACGTGGACTTTCTTATCTTCTCAAAGCGTGGACCTAATGTGGGAGAGATGATACTCACTTTTTATTATAAATATTTACTCCCAAGAGATTAAAATTCTGATGTTAATTTTTACCTTGTATCCAATCAGTGGATAACTCTTTGTTACCACTTAGAATTGTTGATCTATTTTGGAAAAGGAACCAGTCGTGGAACAAATTATACCGTGTATAGTAAGGGGACTTGAACCTGTTCAGAGGGGACTTTCTGGGTCTGGGGAGCTAGATCTGTACCTGTGGGTCATTGCTCTGCCACCCCTCTCAGAATTTTCTTTTGAAGTTAGTGTCATCTTGTTATGCCACTTCTGTCAGTAACAGCTGGCCTCTAAAACAGCATGTATAGATCACAAACTGTGGATCTAACAGTTTAGGGTTTAGTATGTTCCATCCACGGTCAGAGGCTTTATTTAATTCCTTTTAGTATTTCCATGAAATGTCCAAATGTCTGACTTGCCCTTCTTTTTCCCTGTAGTTGTTACGTTGTATGCTACTCTAGGGGGTCCAGCAATTGTTCATGGATTAAATGAAACAGAGGTGACCAACATCATTACTAGTAAAGAACTCTTACAAACAAAGTTGAAGGTGAGAACTAGTTTTCTAATAACTGTCCCGTACTTTAGAATTTTCAGTGTCATGAGCTCATTATTGATACTTAGTTCTTTTATGATCTTTAAAATCCTTAATATCTCTGTAAAGTTTGTGGGACTATCATACTTTGTTCTTCTCCTTTAGAAAAGAAAAAGTGGATTTCATGTATATTTGTGTATAAGCAGCGCAGAGAGCTACAAATTAATTGTCAATGTGTCCATGTCAGAGGTGAAGGGATCACAACTTTATTGTGCTCATCTGGTTTCTAGTCTATTTTCAATAAATTTGTAATTTTTAAGGATTATTTTTAAACTAGTAATTCACTTGGTTCTGAAGCATTTGAGTCATTACAAGTTTCAGAATTTTTTAAAGGGAAGAAAAAGACTTTACAAGACTACAGGAGAAGGCGTTTCTTTCGTCTGCAGACAACTCTGTGAAAACAATAATATCTGATTTTTTTTAAATACAAGTTTATAAGAGGATTCCCTTCCTCTCCCCCTGTATCTTTATTTGCCTCTTAAAAGCATGAGGAGTGTTTGGCTACCCTGTAGTTCAGGCAGTGTGTGTTTACATGCCCATTTTTGTAAGGAACTGACTTTATTGATTAAGATTTTACCAAAGAACAAGGGTACACACAGCAAATCTAATGTAATAAAACTAACTTACATTTCACACCAGTAGTTCTCCATCTGAAAAAAGGGGTATTCATACCACTACACCCCACCCTTGCTTTTTTGAGGCAAGAAATTAACAATTTGCTGAACATGATAAACTGCTTTTCTTGTGTCCTGGGCTATTTGTCAAGCTATTTAAGGAAGAGTAATGAAGAATACAACGAATGCTTGTGTTTTTCCAGGATATAGTTTCTCTAGTCCCATGCCTGCGGCACATCATCACTGTGGACGGTAAACCACCGACCTGGTCTGAGTTCCCCAAGGGCGTCATCGTGCACACCATGGCAGCAGTGCAGGCTCTGGGAGCCAAGGCCAGCGTGGGTATGTGGCGGTTTCCCAGTTCCTCATGCATGTTCTACAGTGACCGTGTTCTCCAGAAGTGCTCCAGATATTTGATTCTAAAGTTAGATGAAGTGACGAACTAGTTTCCTAGGCCATCACTTTGGGACGAAAGGTCACCCTAGGTATAATGTCATCTACCCTTTTAAAAAAAAGCAGCTTAAGGAAAAACATGAACGTTAATTTATTAAAATGGTCTAAAAGTAGTATTTATTTGAAGTTAATTTAAAATACTTTTTACATTATACAGTTTTCCCGTTTCCCTTTTTCTCGTTGGTTTAAAGTTAGTGTTTAAACCAGATAACAAATAATGCCATTATTTGTTTAAACAAATTTAAACAAATAATGCCATTAAACTTGCCCTATGTGAATTATCTGTAAGTATTAACAGATATGTTAAGTGTCTAAACCTGCATCCCTCCTTTTACTTTCTGCTCCAACTGTGTTGTTTCCAGAGGGGACATCTTTCTGTCCTCCAGCTAGCACACCCAGGCATGGTAACCGGAAATTCCCACTCTCAAATAAGTGTCAGAAGATGGTAGAGAATATATTGATGTTTAAGTATATCACAAAAGCTGTTAGGATGGTGGGACTGTACTTCCTTTATAGTTGGAAACATAGTGATGAATTAGATGTAAACATTCACTCAGCTTGGGAATGGGGTTATGCTGAGGTTAATTTTGGACATGTTGAATTTACCTGCTGGTGGGACATTCAAATGTAGCTTTGTAGTGGGGAGTGGCCTATACAAGTCTAGTACGCTGGAGTTTAATTTGGAGTTAAAAGATTTAGAAGCTAGAAACAGATTTTAATTAAAGCTGTGGGAGTAGGTGAGGTCACCCACAGAGAATGGTACCTCCAAAGGCCACCAAGAATTGGTCAGAGAAGAAGGAAGAAGACACACAGCGTGTGGTTTGTGGGAGCCGAGTGAAAGGAGCCCCTCAGTGAGGCAGGAGTCTTCAGCAGGACCAGGTGCACTGGAGGAGTCCGGTGATGCGGGGATTGCAAAAGCACCGTTGGACTTCTTAGCCAGTGTCACTTCAGAGAGAGCAGCTTCTGAGTGCTGGTGGCAGAGGAGAATGGTGCCATGGGATGAAGGAGTGAATGGCGGATTAGGAAGCAAGAACTTGAATGATAACAATTGTCAAGAAGTATATCTTGACAGGTAGGAGAGAAAGAGTTCACTTGGGAACGTGTTTAAAATGTTTTCCTCATTTATTTAAGAAGACCGCATTTAGGGTAGTTCCAAGATTAATTCAGGCAGATCACCAGTGCTATCCATGACCTACTTCTCATAGTCTTTCTTACTGTGTCACCTCTGTAGGATGTTGGCTGCTGTTCTTAGGCTTGTGCAAATGAGGGACAGTGTCTTTTAATCCAGGATTCCGAGTATAGCCATGTTAACTTCACCACTCTGAAGCAGAGAACGTTTTGTAGCAAATGTCTAGGTACCCTCGTCTGACCACCCTTATTTCTTAGTTGAGTTGCTGGAATGGCCTTTTCTCTCCCTATACCTCCTTTCTTTCCTTTTTAAGTTAGGTAACCACACAGTAGCTAAAGTGATCCTTGTCACAGGTGATGACAAGCCTCTGTTGAAAGTAACATTGCTTTGCACCCAGAGTGAAATCCAGAGTCCTTCGCGTGGCCTCTGAGATGGCATGATACGGTGCTGGCGGCTACTCCACCTTCATTTCCTGCCACTTTTCCTAACATCTTCTCACCTTGCCCTGCTTTCTTTTTCTCTTATAGCTCTTATAACATTATAGATTTGTTTATGTCTGTCCTAATAGCATATATCTCTTATGTGCAGGGACTTGATCTGTTTTGTTGAGCTTGTACGAACCCAATTAATAGTTGTTAACTCAGTTAGACAAACATGATTATGAAAAAGCTGGTGATACAGCTAACTTTCTCAGAAGTATGTGTGTCTTTTCTTCTCCAATACAGAAAACAAGCCTCATAGCAAACCAGTGCCCTCAGATACTGCAGTAATCATGTACACAAGTGGATCCACAGGACTTCCAAAGGGGGTCATGATCTCCCATAGTAACCTTATTGCTGGTATAACTGGGATGGCGGAAAGGATTCCAGACCTGGGGTATGTCATAGTAAATAAATTTGGGGTAGTCCAGTATTTATGTCTGTTGTTACATTAACGTTTGTGTCATTTATTACTACGCGGTTAAATTAGTCCTTCAGAGTCTGTTTACAGTAGGTATTTCTTCAAGAAAAGGACACTAAAATTACAAAATAGTTATAGTTGGGCTTTTTTTTTTTTTTCGTGGTACGCGGGCCTCTCACTGTTGTGGCCTCTCCCGTTGTGGAGCACAGGGTCCGGACACGCAGGCTCAGCGGCCATGGCTCACGGGCCCAGCTGCCCCGCGGCATGTGGGATCCTCCCGGACCAGGGCACGAACCCGTGTCCCCTGCATCGGCAGGCGGAGTCTCAACCACTGCGCCACCAGGGAAGCCCTAGTTGGGGGTTTTAAAGTATAGCTGATAGACATCATTGTTAATATTTACTTGTTACTTTAAAAGTGCAAACTTTAACTGACTTAAATGTCTTAAATTATTTTAATCAGTTGGTGTTGTTACCTTCACAGTCATTTTTATACCTAAATATTATACTTCAAGTGAACAAATAATGTATCCAATAAATGCTTATTGAGCTTCTCTATTCAGTCTCTGATTTTTCTTTTTAAGACACATTCCAGTAGTACTGGGGGAGAGTGGGTATACTGGGATGGGAAAGAGACCAATGGAGGAAACCAGACGGGAGCGAATTTTAGCGGTGGTAAAGCTAGCATTCCCAGAGATGGAATCAATATTGTGATGACTGATCTAGTGCAGTGGTTGGATGCACAGAAATTATACACACACATGTTACTGTGGAATTGAATTTGGGGATGGAGAGAGAAATTTTTCTTGTGTGTGCATAACTTTTAGAAAAAAAAAGTAATAGCAACTAATTCCTTCTGGGAATGGGAGCAGTTCTTGAAATATATGGATATGTATACATATACATTTTATTACGTAAGGTATAATTTAACTCTCAGAACATGAATCTCATGCTGAGATTCCTGGCAGAGGGTTGTGGATCCTATTTGAACTCTCCTGTTTGATAGCCCATTAGCTTTAAAGACCATTTCCTCCTTGGGGGAATTTCTTCTGTCCTTCCAAAGAACCCTCATTTTCTTTTTCCCCCCTCCAAGCCCATATTTCTTCTGTCCTGGTGCTTTGCTTCTGCAGCACGCACAGTTAGTGAGTGCCTTCCAGGAGGACCTGGAAACAGGAGCCACTTCCTCAGAGTGTCTGCCTCCTCAGCTTTAGGTTGAGCTGTACTACAGTTCTTTTCCCTGACACCCTCAGTGTCTGTCTCTGTCTGTCTGTCTCTCTCTTCTCACACACACACGCACACACGCACGCACGCACGCATGCACGCACATGCACACACAAAGAGCCCAGATTGAGCCCTGAGGGTAAAGCTCGCTCCCGTTTTCACAGAAACAGCACCTGACTGTTGCTTCCTGTATCTCCCTTTTCTTTTAGTGAGAAGGATGTTTACATCGGGTATCTGCCTCTGGCCCATGTTTTAGAATTAAGTGCTGAGCTTGTTTGTCTTTCTCATGGATGCTGCATTGGCTACTCTTCACCACAGACTTTAGCAGATCAGGTAAATTAAATTCTGTGATTTGAGATACTAAAAAATCATAATTATCTTTAACACAATTTTCATTCAGTATGACAGTATATTGTAAGGCTGACAGTTAATCATTCTAAAGGAACTTGCCTTTTAAGTGCTACTTAGAATATAAGTGAATTAAAATGGTGAATTTGTAATGTGTTTTTTAAGAGTTTTATTGAATTTTTAAAATAAAGATCACTTTATATAGATAACTTTTTCTCTCTGTAGTCTTCAAAAATAAAAAAAGGAAGTAAAGGAGATACATCCATATTGAAACCAACACTGATGGCAGCTGTCCCGGTAAGAATTGACCATTAATCAATATTGCCTGCTAAAAAAGCATCTACAGAAAGTAAATGCTAGTGGAAAAGATACTGTTGACATGGTAGTTTATGTAGGATTTATTCCTTATTCATTATCTATGTTACCTTGAGCTCTACAGTATTTATTTGATCTTGTTTTATCTTTTTTTTCTTGCTTATTAAACAATCAACTTAATTTCAGCTTCGATATGATATTATCAGTGCCTTTCCCTAAATAACTTCTTGCTCAAATCATTTTTGTGATATCTGTTTGCTATTGGTAGAAACCTGAAGCCCAGCAGGAGATAGGAGAAAAGGTTTGAGATCACCTCCTTCTAAGCAAATCATATCTCCCGAGTCCTTGGGGAAAGTCTGGCCTAGACACCAAAAAAAAAAAGGGACAGAGAAGTTGGTGCAACTTTGAATTACCCTAGCAGCACTGTGCATCTTAATTTAATACCAGGCATAGGGAGGGGCCTGAGAATAAGATCAGTAGAAATGGGATAGCAATGATTTTCTGCTCCCTTAATGTAAATTTTACGAGGCTCTCTGATTTTGTTTGAGAGTGTTGGGAATTATAATTGGATACTGAGTGTTCACATTCAAGCATAATTGCTTAGTTATTCCAAAGTCAAATATAAATGACCAGTAATTTTGGAGTTTCATTAGGTATGTAGTTTCCTTAATACTATCTTTCTTCAAAGTTTTGGTTCACATAAATATTAAATATAATTTAAAATTGTAGAGAGAAACTATTTCAAGTCATTAAAGTATATGTCATAGGAATAGGCATAGTAGGCAAAACACAGTGCAGACAAGGAAATTTTTCATGGATGCAGCATTAAAAGTCAAACAACCAACCAAAATAACCCCATGGTCTTGTTGTGAGCAAAGAATGTAGTACTTTATATCTTTATAAGATAGAATGGTTTTTAAAATTCTCTTTTAATTTTATATAGTTGTTCATTTATTTAGTGAGTTTAGTTTTTAGTTCAGAAAAAATAAGAGCAAAGCAGTATAAAGAATCAATAATGGCATATTACTGCCCTAAGGTTTTTAGTATCTCCCTGCCCCCCCGTTTTTTTTTTTTTACTACTTTTACATGAGCATCTATTTAAAAATTACAGAAATCTCATTTTTAAACAAATTGTGGCTCTATTTTAAAAGTTTATTCTTGACAGAATGTATCTTTTAGAATGCCTCTATTGATGGAAATAGTAATCTGATGTTAAGATTTTAAATAAGGTAGCTGATAGCATTATTGACTGTATTAACTCATTTTTATACATCTAGGAAATCATGGATCGGATCTACAAAAATGTCATGAATAAAGTGAATGGAATGAGTAATTTTCAACGCACTCTGTTTATTCTCGCCTATAATTACAAAATGGAACAGATTTCAAAAGGGCATGGTACTCCGCTGTGTGATAGGTAAGTAAAGGCTCTCCCTCTCCTTGATAACTTGATCATTTTATTCACATTAATAGCCCAATTAATTGAGATAGTTATAAGTAAAAATTATCTTAAAAAGTCAAAGGGACTCTAAAAAAAATCCATCTTGCATAAGAATATGAGCAATTAAAAAAGATTGCAAGGTTATTTGAAAAAAATTTTCGCTAAAAATTTTGCTGTGTTAAATGTGGGCTTATGTCTTCTGTGGACACTTATATGATTTTAATTATTTTGAGAAGTAGTTTCTCTTTGCTTTTATATTTATTTCAATATGAATATAAAATGGCAACCAAATATGATTAAATGTTTTGTGTTTAAAGTGTTAAATGAGTTTTACCACACACCTGTCATCCCCCCGCCCCCCGCCCGCCATGGCACTAATAGAATAAGTAGATTTAACTATAAAATAGTTTAGAAATTAGAAAATAAAAGTATGACATTCAAATTATTTTTTATGGGAACGTTAATGTAGTTTTCATATGTGTTTCACATTATTTAAAACTTTATAATTTTTTTCCCTGCCTTTTACTCATATCTCCAGTGAGATACAGAATTGCTTTGTAAAGCCTATTTACATATATATATATATATATATATTTTAATGATTGCCTCTTGGTCTTTTTTCAAAGTTATTAAAATACAAAACAAAACCCTTCCCCCTTTTTCATCTAGGTGGTAAGCAATCTTTTTAATAAGTGTGTTTTCAGAAACATATCAGTTAGATGTTTGAATTGTTTTCTTTTTTAATTTACCAGATACTTCAACTTGAATTAGTGAAATTTTAAAGAGTTAAATTGCTGTATACAAATACATATACATCTTTAATGAAGTAAGCGAAAGCAAAAAAATAATTTACTTTTTATACTAAATTTTATGAAGATACAATAGGATTATTCAGTATTAATATAATATGTATTATATAATGATATAAAACTAATTGCTCTGGCCATAAGCAAGGGTTTTCCATTACTATATAAAATTAAACCTGACAATTTTGAATTCAAATATTACTTGAAGTTCTCAAGAGAAAAATCACATGTTCTTGGTTGAATAAACTTGGTTGAATAAACATTTAGATTTAAGTAGTGGGTCAAGAGAGTCTCTTAAATTGGCTTTGTGGCCTTGGATAAGATACTTAATCTCAACATCTCATATAGGTGTACCTCGTTTTATTGCACTTTGCTTTATTGCATTTCACAGATACTGTGTTTTTACAAGTGGAAGGTTTGTGGCAACCCTGTATTGTCAGATGGTTAGCATTTGTTAACATAAAGTGTTTTTTAATTAAGGTACGTACATTGCTTTTTAGACGTAATGCTGTTGTACACTTAATAGACTATAGTATAGTATAAACATAATTTTTGTGTGCAACGGGAGACCAAAAAATTCATGTGACTTGCTTTATTGCAACATTCACTCTACTGCGGTGCTCTGGAACTGAACTCTAAATATCTTCACGGTGTGCCTGTGTATCAGAATTGGAAGATTAGGCTAAATGATTTGGAAAATCCCATTCAGCTTTAAAATTCTGTGATTATCTGATTGATTTTTCTTTTTTTTTTTAAGCTTTATTTTCCGGAAAGTTCGAAGCTTGCTAGGTGGAAATATTCGGCTTCTCTTGTGTGGGGGTGCTCCACTTTCTGCAACCACACAGAGATTCATGAACATCTGTTTTTGCTGTCCTGTCGGTCAGGGATATGGACTCACTGAATCTTGTGGGGCTGGAACAATTACAGAAGGTTAGTGTTATCTACAAAGTGGTGTGTCCAACAGAGGCTGGGGTGCAACTCCAGGCACTTTTTAGTATGGGTTGTTTTTTGCAGATATATAGAAGAGCAGTTAAAATATTTGTGTAAATCCCAAGTAGTGTGATTATTGATATGTTTTTAGAATGTATTAGGTATATCTCATTGTCAGTAATTCATCTAGAGGAGTTTTCGAATTAAGACTATGGTAAAGACTATGATAGTATTAAAAACTACTTAGCTGGGCTTCCCTGCTGGCTCAGTGGTTGAGAGTCCGCCTGCCGATGCAGGGGACACGGGTTCGTGCCCTGGTCCGGGAAGATCCCACATGCCGCGGAGCGGTTAGGCCCGTGAGCCCTTGCCGCTGAGCCTGCGTGTCCGGAGCCTGTGCTCTGCAACGGGAGAGGCCACAACAGTGAGAGGTCTGCACACCGCAAAAGAACCAACCAAACAAACAAGAAACAAACTACTTAGCTTTCTAGAAAAGAAGTTTTTGTCACAAGCATTGGCTGTATTGTGTACATTTATCATCTTATATCAGTTTTTAAATTTCTTTTTATGTAGAAAAATTAATGTGTATTTTCTAGTTGTTTAGGTATGTTTATTAAGGCTCAAATTCAGAAATGTTTATTGGGGTGGGTGGTCTGTGTTAAGTGCAACGAGAAACTAGATTCTGGTCTAGAGAATCTAATTTCCAGAGTTTATCATGGTGACTGGGTTGAGGGGGCAGTCCACTACCTGAGCAGTTCCCAGATGACTCCCCTAGTGCCTTATATGCCCTTTTATGGAAGAAAGGTACTTTGTTCTCCAGTCCTAGATAAAACTATGCTCCTCCTTTGTATTTTCTAGATACTGATAGACACGAAACCTCTTAACTTTTCATTTTCCCCTATTTACCTTGAGCGCTTTTGTGCACCATTCTTATGTCAGGTTTATCCTGCATTACTTCTGTATTTTCCAGTTTTCAGTTACGTTCTCTATATTTTATATATTTTGGGAAGCTGCTTCTAAGTCTTGTTTTGCACAAAATAGACAAGCAATCTTAAAAACATGCATATACGGTTCCTGAAGAGCCTTAATTTCTTCCATTTTTAAGGTTTCCATTGGATGTGTGATTAATCAGTTACGGTTTATGGTGTAAATATGTCTGTAAAGTATTAAATATCAGCCTTTCATTTCTGATATTTGAATGCTCTTTGAAGAGGAAACATGATGCAGTAGTAGTTCATAATCGTGGTGGGTTCTTTCCCAGATCCTTGAAAGTTAACAATCTTAATCTCCAGTGTGATCTCTGAGCTCTTACTATATGAACTTATGAAAAAATAGGGTGTGCTAGTATAAGCTGATGTGAGGGAAGCTTCAGAGATCTCAGTTTGAAATAGTGGTACATGGGAGAAGATTGGAGAGGTTATTTGTACTGCAGATCTGTTAAGTCTAGTAAGAAAGTAGAATAGGTGTAAACCATTGTGTTCCTTTATCCTTTAAGATAGAGAAGACAAACTCATGAACCAGGCAGCTACTTAAATGAGTGAAGTGGGCCCTGGTGTAAGAAAATGTGATGGTAAGGGATCTGGGGAAACTGGAGCAGGCCTGCACCGTCTGATAGGGGCTACAGTTGTTGCTGTGCTGGAAATGTGGGCCCATTGTTCTCGGAGATTCCATACTCTTTCGTAAAATGTCTTGATTTTTAAATGTCTATAACCAATTCGGATTAAAAAAAAAAAAAACCAAAACATTTCAGTGTGGGCTACACAGCTTGCTTCACCAATGTGCTACTTCTGCATTTAAGGGTTCTCTGGGGATATCTAAGGTTTGGGATAAATCACTGGTTTTTTGTAGTTTAAAAAAATGAAGCGATTTATTAACTACTGTAATCAAATACTTTTTTTCATTTGCATTTTAGTGTGGGACTACAATACTGGCAGAGTGGGAGCGCCATTAGTTTGCTGTGAAATCAAATTAAAGAACTGGGAGGAAGGTAATAACCTCTTTTAACCACAGAGCATTAATTTGTATAATATTAAACTTTAGAATTGTGCTTCATTTCCTTCCTTACTTTAGAGTGTAAAATCACCCACAAGTGCTCACTTTTGTCCTTTATAATAGAAATATTTTATCTAGAGCTATATGAATGCATTTATTTTGCTTCTTTCAAAGATGACTTCAAAGAATTATAATTGTTTTTATTTGCTTACTTTATTACATAAATGCAAATAAGAATTATGGGAAAAACTTGAGAAATGTGCTAAATAAATAATGCCCATAAGTTACAAATGAACATATTTTGTAGAAACAAAATCATATAATTCATTCTATGAAACTGAAGATTTTTACCTGTTTTTTCTTTTTTCTTTCCCTTCTCCGAGGGCTTCAACCCAAAATTATCAGAAGGAAATTTTTACTATAATTACATGAAAATGTATTGCTCATGCCATTTAAATACTAGTCACTTCTTAAAAATTTTATATGACCCTGTTAGCGTGTACATGTTATCTCTGATTTGTCTGGGTGCACTTTTCTTTTATGCAAAGAGTGTCTAAGGCTTGGTTGTCATTTTTCAGAACTAGTGAAAATGTTTAATAAGCTTAAACATGGAACCATTCTGAAATTATCTGTAAGGAATAAATCTTCTAAATATATAGTAATTTGATTTTATACGGAGATTTATTCTCAAAATGCACAATTTAACACTTTTATCAGTTACTAGTACGATATTTAAGAATCTCTACAGAGTCCTTAAAGGAATTGACCAGTGTCGTCCATATGTAATTATTTTATACAGTAGATGTTGGATTTTTGAGTTTAATTTTTTTCTTGGAATAGTAGTTTGAAAGCAGAAGTGCTTAGGGTTAAGCAGCTGAAAATTTGCAACTAGTTTTATGTTGATGAATTTTGTTCGTAGTGCCTGCCTTATTTCCTTTGGGAAACGCTGATTGGATCAAAATCAGATGTCCCTATTTAGAAACTAATAGTTTCAAATATTCACACGATGCACGCGGGGATAAAAATGTTGAATTAACTCTAAATTATTCTGTGTTTGTTAGGTGGATACTTTAATACTGACAAACCACATCCTAGGGGTGAAATTATTATTGGTGGCCAAAATGTGACAATGGGATACTACAAAAATGAAGCAAAAACAAAAGCTGATTTTTTTGAAGATGAAAATGGACAGAGGTGGCTCTGTACTGGAGATATTGGAGAGTTTGACCCTGATGGTTGTTTGAAGATTATTGGTAAGCGAAGTAATACTTTTTTTCTTTAAGTGGATGTTTCCAAAATAGCTTTTCAAAAGAGAGACTATATATTTAGAGAAGCTGTTTAATAGTGTAAGAATTCATCTTTATGGAGTGTTGGTATGGTCTCTGCATTATCCCTGGAATATAAAAATGTACAATAGGGACTGTGTGGAATTTATAAGGCTTGACATATTATGAGGTCTCAAGGTCTGTTCAACAGCAGTGGTATTTTTTTTTTTTTTCCCCTGCGGTATGCGGGCCTCTCACTGCTGTGGCCTCTCCCGTTGCAGAGCACAGGCTCCGGACGCACAGGCTCAGCGGCCACGGCTCACGGGCCTAGCCGCTCCGCGGCATGTGGGATCTTCCCAGACCGGGGCACAAACCTGTGTCCCCTGCATCGGCAGGCGGACTCTCAACCACTGCGCCACCAGGGAAGCCCAGCAGTGGTATTTTTAATTACTACTAGATAATCCTTCAAGAGTCCAGTTCTTAATAGGGAATATTCATTTTTGTGAATTCTTTGCTATCTAGAGGTTATTAGGGCTCTTTTCCTGTCAGAACCATGTCCTTCCCTTGCCTGTGAGAGCTAAGGAAGGCCTGGCAGCTCAGTACTAGGACCTGTGGGTGAGAAATACCTTCCCTGCTTCTCCTCTTAAGTTCTTTCTCTCAGTTAATGGCACTTCTATCCCAGTCGTGCCATCTAGACACTGGCAGGAGATGAGAACCTCTTCAGTCAGCTCCCCATATCTAATCCATATCCCACTGCTTTACCTTATGACATATGCCTCAAGATCATTCTTTTCTGTCTGTCCCTCTTTCTGTGATCGTAGGTCAGGCCTGCACCTTCTGTCACCCTATTGCAAGAAATTCCTTTCTGTTGCTATGCTTACCCCTGCTGAATGCACCCTCTCGCTGCCACCACGTGATTACTAAACCCCCATCTCACTGGCTGCTTTCCTGCTGAAAACCTTTCCTCCTCCTATAGCTGCAGTAATTCAAGCTGGCACGGCTCTCTTCTTTGCCAGTGTTCTTCCACTTGGCTACTGCTCAGTCTTCCCTCAAGACTCAGCTCAGGCCTCACTTGCGGGAATTCTTTGAAAATCAGCACCTAGTACTACTGTATCGTATTAAAGTGATACGTTTTTTCGTCCTGCTTCTCTTCAGGTAGAATGTGAGCTTTCAGATGGCATTGAGTATATTCTTGACCTTTCTGGTATTAATGTATACCAGGAACAGAACCTGTTCAGCAGAACATGGCTGAAGCCCTGATGATGGGGTCCCTTAATCAGAATCTAGTTCTTTAAAAGAATATATTTAGTAGTACAAAAATAAGGGCCTAATTTTATGTGTTTTTAATTTTAGCATAACTACTATAGGGAACTTAATTGATAGCAAATTACTTAGGGAATGGCCAGTATTTCTATGCATTAAAGGTATAATAATATTGTCCTCCAACGTGCCCCCCTCCCGGCCTTGTTTTTGCGCAGATCGTAAAAAGGACCTTGTAAAACTGCAGGCAGGAGAATATGTTTCTCTTGGGAAAGTGGAGGCAGCTTTGAAGAATCTCTCACTAATAGACAACATTTGTGCATATGCAAACAGGTAAGAAAGTAGAATTTATGCTACTTTTACTTAAAACATTTGGTGTGCTGTTGGCATTTCCTTTCTATGCCGGCCTTCTTTGTAAAGTGATACCGAGAACTCTTCCTTCTTATCCATTGTCTCTGGGAACGGCCTGTTCTCATTACGGCCCTTGTGATGCTCCTCTCCTTATCTTCTGTCCCTGTTTTCTGTTTTACATCTCAGTGCGGTGTTCTGTGTGACAGGAAGGGGAAGGAAATAAAATCCTCCTCCCTGCTGCCTTGCTACCTGTCGCCCTGCACAGGGAAGCTTCCCACAGCCAGTCCAGAGGAGAGGCGAGTAAAGAAGGAAGTTGGGGGTGGGGTCAGAGAGCAGTGCTCTGCTCCATTCTTACTACCCCCTGTCAGTTTGAGCCTGCTTGGGACCCTAGCCAGGTGTGGGCTTCCGTTCCCCCTTAAGCCATGTTAAGCTGTGGCTTCATACATAGCATCTCGAGCCCACGATGATATAGAGGCAGCTGGGAAGGAGAGTTTAAAGTTAAAATCCCAGAAATGCATTCTTGGGAAATGTGTTGGAATTTCAGATTGGCACTCTGATTACATTTTTTCATAACAGTATTGCATGTGGCAGTCATTCTCCAGGGTTAATGATCGGATATTTTCTGGCCAGCCTGGGACCCTTACTGCAGCAGTTGACATAATGCTTATTATGAAAAGATAAAATCTGGTGTTAGGAGAACCAATTTAGAAATAGGCTTTGAGGTACAGCCCACTTTAAAGATTTACTACATTGGTTTATAAATGATTCTGCCCTTTGTTAGTCATGAAGTGTTTTCTTTAGTGATGCTACAGTTCTGGATTTTCATATGTGATATTAACCAGAACTGACCTTCTCCTGATGCCGCTGCCATTTCTTCAGGTCGCTGCCTTCAGCGGGCATACTCAAGAGTTCCTCTAGAACACATATTCCCACGATAACAAAGGAAGAAATATGTATAATCACATTACTTTGATTTGTTGCCAAATTTTTTTAGAAACAGTTTCATATCTACATTAGCTTTTCAGTTTTGTTTAATCTGTTGATGTGAATTACTGATTTTTTAAGGATGAATTTTCTGATTTTGTAATTTTCTTTTTTTTTTTTCTAAACATCTTTATTGGGGTATAATTGCTTTACAATGGTGTGTTAGTTTCTGCTTTTGTAATTTTGTTTTTTAAAAGCATACTTCATAGCAGTTATATACATAGTTGAAATTTATCATGAAATGTCAGGTTCAGGTTTCTTTAGCAGTGAATTCTGCCAGAGCACCGCAGCACGTTATGAATCAGACAGCAAGCGTGGCGGTACCAGATACGCCCTCATGTGTGTCGCTTGGGATGGTGAAGAGCTGATCGCTAAATGTCAGCGTAGCCAGTTAACTGCAGTTAACGCGGTGTACGCCGTGTGGTGCCTTAACCAAGTTGCCCTTTATTTCAGTTATCATTCTTATGTCATTGGATTTGTTGTGCCGAATCAAAAGGAGCTAACGGAACTAGCACGAAAGAGGGGACTTCGAGGGACCTGGGAGGAGCTGTGTAACAGCTGCGAAATGGAGAATGAGGTGCTCAAAGTGCTCTCTGAAGCTGCTGTTTCAGGTGAGAGAGTGTTCAGCTGATTCTGAGAACTGAGATGGGAAGAGGCTACTTAAGCTTGCTTATCCTGTTTTTGCTACAAGGGCTTAGGTTACATTTCCTGCTTAGAAACCAATCATATTTCCCCACCATTAGTAGGGAGAAGAACGTACTTATCAGTCCCCCACTATAGCCCCTTTAGGGACACACAAATCATCCACGCCCACCACTGATGGACATGTCTCAGAATGTCCTCTTCTCAGCAGCTTCTGTTTTCTGGGTTGGCCCTTTCTCCACTCTTCTCAGCTGTTTCCAAGGCCCTGCTTAGCTTCCTGGACACCCCAGCCCGTAGTGAACCGTCCAGGACTCTTTGCTACACTGTTAGTGTGCTGGTAGTTGGTTGAACTCATGTGTTCTCCACCCCTTGTGCATGTGTGTGTGTGTGTGTGTGTGTGTGTGTGTGTGTGTGTTGAGGGGTGAGTGCAGAGAGACTTCATTTAATGTTGTTGGTTTCATAAAAACAGCTGTACCTTCTGAGTCATGGGTAATACAAGTATGCATTTTTATTCTCCTTAGATATGTTATTCAAGATTATGAAAAATGTAAATTGCATTTATAGTTAATCAGACGAAATCATTTTGACCCTTTATTTCAACAGTAATTGTGTTTTGTAGTATGTCAGCTTGAAAATAGTTTCCAACTTTTTTAGGTAACTTGAAATCCTTGGTCTGATGCTAAATTGAGTTAATTAATGGATATGAAATTAGAAAGCTACATAATTTCTAAGTAAGGTAGAATACTGAAACAATAATTAAGCATAATTTAAAATTTATATGCCTTCTTGCTTTATTTTTAAATTTTATGTATATGTTAACAGCTCTGAGATATATTATAATTCACATACCAAACAACTTGTCCATTTAGTATATACAATTACATAGTTTTTTAGTATATCCACAGAGTTGTACAATTACCATAATCAGTTTCGGAACACTGTCATCACCTCAGAAAGAACTAGCGTGTCTGTTAGCAGCCACTCCCCACCATACCTCGAACCTCCTAGTCCTTGGGGACCACTAATCTTTCTGTTTCTATAGATTTGCCTGTTCTGAAGATTTTGTATAAGTAGAACCATATAATATATAGGGTTTTGTGACTGGTTTCTTTCGCTTAGCATGTAGTGTTCATCCATGTTTTCTTGTCGTGGCATGTATCAACACTTCATTCCCTTTTATTGTCAAGTAACATTTGGTTATCCATTCATCAGTTGACACCTGGGTTGTTTCCGGTTTTGGCTGTTAATGAATAATATTGCTGTGAACACTTGTACGCAAGCTTTTGCGTGGATATACTTATTTATTTCTGTTGTGTAGATAACTAGGAGGAGAATTGCTGGGCCTCTGCTAACTTTATGTTGAACCTTTTGAGGAACTGCCAGGCTATTTTCCAGAACATATTTTTCTAAATATTTTCCAGACTGTTTTTAAAAATGGTGGCACCATTTTACATTCCCACGAGTGTTGTATGAGGGTTCCAGTTTCCCCACATCCTTCCCAGCACTCATTATTGTTCATCCTTTCAATTTTAGCCATCCTGGTTAGTGTGAAGTGGCCTCTCATTGTGGCTCTGATTTGTATTTCAGATGGTGGTTTATGATGTTGAGCATATTTTCATGTACTTAATGGCCATTGTATGTCTTCTCTGGAGAAATGGCTGTTCAGATTCTTTGCCCATTTTTTAAGTGAGGTTGTCTTTTTATTATTGAGTTGTATGATCTTTATATATTCTAGATGCAAATCCATTATCAGATATATTTTCTCCCATCCTGTGGGTTGTGTTTTTACTTTTCTTGATGGTATCCTTTGAAACACAACAGTTTTAATTTTTTTTTTTTTTAATGTTGAGCCTTCTTTTAATTTATTTTTATTTTTGGCTGTGTTGGGTCTTCGTTTCTGTGCGAGGGCTTTCTCTAGTTGTGGCAAGTGGGGGCCACTCTTCATCGCAGTGCGCGGGCCTCTCACTGTCGTGGCCTCTTCTTGCGGAGCACAGGCTTCAGACGCGCAGGCTCAGTAGTTGTGGCTCACGGGCCTAGTCGCTCCGCGGCATGTGGAATCCTCCCAGACCAGGGCTCGAACCCATGTCCCCTGCATTGGCAGGCAGACTCTCAACCACTGCACCACCAGGGAAGCCCAGTTTTAATTTTTATAAGATACACTTTATTTGTTTCTTTTGTTGCTTGTGCTTTTGGTATCACATCTGAGAAACCGTTGCCTAATCCAAGTTACAAAGAAATAGCGCTTTGTTTTCTTCTAAGAGTTTTATAGTTTTAGCCCTTATATTTGGGTCCTTAATCCATTTTGGGTTAATTTTTATATATGATGTAAAGAAGGGATCCAACTTCATTTTTAAGCAAAATCGATATTAGGTTTACACCAGAGAAACAGAATCAGTAAGTTAAATATAGTAAGAAACTTATCGTAGGGAATTGGTTTACATGATTATTGGGGGCTGGCTAAGACAAACTTGGAAATCTGTAGGGCAGACTGTTTAAAAAAAAAAAAAAAAAAGGTGGATTGGAACTCCTAGGCACAAGCCAAAGCCCCTGTCCACAGGCAGAATTGCTTCTTGTTTGGGGGTGCCTCAGCTCTGCTCTCAAGGCCCTTCAACTGACTTAGTCATATCTACAAAACCACTTTCAAAGCAACACCTAGATTAGTGTTTAACTGAATAACTGGGAACTCTAGCCTAGCCCAGATGATGCATAAAACTGTCACAGCCCACCCTTTGTCAGCCTGGCACCCAGATACATTTCCTTACACCATAGTTAATTTCCAAGTAAAGACAGTAACACCTAACATTATGCACCTGTTCTGCGTGCAACTGAAGATACATTAACCTTTTTCCCAGAAGTGGATGAAGACCCCTTGACTGATTTTTTTTCTTACTCTTCTCCTTTGATATCCTGTAACTTAAATACTATGATATAAAGTGAACTTATTAATATATTGTGATAAGAGAATAGGAGGGAAGAAAACAAAAATATTTGCTTAACATATATACAAGCATATTCACAACAAAATAGGGAAGAAATACTCATAATTATACTTAGAGTCCCCATTTCTTCACCTGGTCATTTGGTTGTAGCTGTGTTCATTTTTCTAAAACCTGGTCTAGATGATATCACTGTACTTAACTAACGTCATGTTGAGTCAGGTCATAGAGTGCGGTGCCGACTGAGCACTTAACAGCTGAATGTGGGCTTCCAGTGCTTGCCTGTGAGTCTCCCCACATCTCCGTAGTGTCAGACTCCTGTCCCTTAAGAACTGTGTCCCTGCCTTACTGCTTTTTCTCATAGTGGTTTTTCCTCTTAGAAACCACTCCTGAGATATTTTTCATCTTTGAAGCATAAAACTTTGTTACTTCTGTTTCTTTTTACAGGTTAGAGTTAATATATCATTTTTGTTCCCAAGGCACTTATACCTTTTAATTCAGTTCTTTTAAGGTATATACATTATTATGGCTAGGTGTTTACCTGTTTTCCGATAGTATACCAGTTGAGAGCAGAAACTATTCATTTTTGTATTTTAAAAGAATGTTTAGTAAAGCACTTTATACAGTATTTTTTTCCTGGTAAATATTTGTTAAATGAATGCTGGAAAAGTAAATCAGTCTTTTTAAGGAAAGGTGTTTCTTCAAAACTACATCTCTTTTCCCTGTCTTCCCCCCCCCACCCCTCCCCACCGCCCCCTTTCCGTTTTCCACTGTTGAGGACCTACTTGGTATCAAGCAGTGTGGGAGAAGCACAGTAGTGAGGAGACATTCTTTCTCAGAGCTCATGGCGAATATCGTGGCTCAGTGACAAGATTCTGTTTAAACTTTATTATTTCTTAGTTTCTAAAGTGATTTTTAAAAATAAATTCAAAGAAAACAAATAGGTGTAAGGTAAAAAGTGACATTTCCTTTTCCTTAATCCTGGATCCTAGCCCCCTAGAAGTATGCGGTTTATTTTGGTGTGTACCCTTGTCGTACACATCTAGTTGCATATAAGTTTATCTAGTGTTAAAAAAGAAAACAAAACTTCTTTTAAACCTAACAGTATATTGCAGGTATCTTTATATACCCATGCCAGATAGATCTAACTCATTTTTAGTGACTGAATGTTGTACGTTTTATGCCTTATCATAATTTATCCAACTCCTTCTATTGATGGACATGTAGATTTTCTCAGCAGTTTTTTGCTATTGTAATTCTCATACGTAATCTGTTTCTTCTCGTATTTCTGAGGGATAGATTGTTTAGAAGTGAGATTTATGAGCTGTTGGCTTTGCATTTTGATGAGTGCTCAAAGACTGAGGAAGTTAAATTATTTGCCAAGAATTTTAATTGTATATTTTTCATGACCTTGCATTTACATTTCTTTTCACCGTCTCAGCAAGTCTGGAAAAGTTTGAAATTCCAGTAAAAATTCGTTTGAGCCCTGAACCGTGGACCCCTGAAACTGGTCTGGTGACAGATGCCTTCAAGCTGAAACGCAAAGAGCTTAAAACACATTACCAGGCGGACATTGAGCGAATGTATGGAAGAAAATAATTATTCTCTTTCAGCATCAGTTTGCTGCAGGGAGCTCAGATCAAATAGGAAAATACTTGAAATGCATGTCTCAAACTGTGAGGCAGACTCCATTCCTCATATTAAACCTAAACTGTTATTTCTCATGACATCACCATTTTTAACTAACAGGATTAGTAAAATATTAAGACAGCAAACTTGTGTCTGTCTCTTCTTTCTTCCCCTCCTCCAAGTTACTTTACCACCTAGGACTGCACTTGTCAGCATGAGGCCTTTTTTGAATCATCTTGGGGGAACAGTGATTTTAAAACCTCAAGTTTTTAAACATGATTTGTATGTTCTGTATAGTGTTCAGTTTGTAACTTTTTAAAGTTTGGATGTATAGAGGGATAAATAGGAAATACAAGAATTGGTTATTTGGGGGGCTTTTTTACTTACAGTATTTAAACATGCAAGGGTATGGATGTGAAATTATGTAAATTTCATTCAAATGCTTATGAATCAAATTGTTGAACAAAAGATTTGTTGCTGTGTAATTATTGTATGCATTTGAGAGAAATAAATATACCCGTACTTATGTTTTAAGAAATTGAGACCTTGTGAATATATGCCTGACAGTGTCTTCTTTATATATTTATTTTTTCTTAGAAAAAAAATTAAGTTTGGTTGGTCCTGCATGAAACAAAATAGCAATAGAGGGTTATGGTTTCATAGTAAAGAAGAAAACACAGCAAGGGTAGCACCAGTGGATCATTAATCTCTGGTAGTTTACCATCAGAATATCAGTCTTCTAGTCAGCTGTGGAAACTAGGAAACTAAAGTTTTAGAATTGGGCACAATTTGAAAAGTTAAGGTAGAATTAAAAAAAAAAAAGGATGGAACGTTATTCTTTATTTCATTGACTACATGTACATTGAGTTGTCTGTGTTTATGACATATTAGTCACAGATAATTATTCTATCTCACTCTACTTTTAGCCTAGCTGTTTAGTGATATATCTCATTTCCAAATTAGGATTATTTTCTTGGATAGTTTGCACTGGGTATGTGTGTCAGCCACTGTCAGTGTCTGTTGGCAGCTTATTGAAAAAGCACCTTATCTTTTCTACCATAACCTTTCTACACTAGAAAATGAAATAATTGAGAATGCTTCTAGGAATAGCATTCTTACTATGATACATGAGAATTTAACTTTATAATGAGGTGAGTTAAGATTTAATTTGCAGGTTTTTAATGTCAGTGTGGAAATTATTTGCTTCTAAAAATACTGTATCATATATAGTACGTCTTTTCATATGTATTGCTTGTCCGTTGTTGTTTGGCTATTATTAAGAGTGATGTTGCACCAATTAAGATGTGTTTAGACTAGGATGTAAGAAAATCATAGGTACCATGTTTTTCATGTCATATTAGTTATTTTCTTGATTCTCAGTTACTTTAGGCACCAAGAAGGCAAAACAAAACAAAAATACACATATGTGAAAAGGTATGAACGTCGATCTGCGTAGGGCAGTGGGAGCGTTGAGGACCTGTAACCCTGTAGTTTTTGGCCATATCATGAACACATCGTATTTGGAGATATTGTAATATGGTGTTTTTAGTTTTAAACTTTTCTTGTATTCATGTATATATTTGTATTATGTTTTGAATGCTTTTCTTGTCATAGTTTAAGTTTTCACAGAGTTTTGAAAAACTGCCAAGAAGAAGTAAAAATAGGGAAAAATTAAATGGAGCCTCTCTAAAATGTTGTGGTCTAAACATTAAAGTTAGCTTGGGTGGACAGAATTTGTTTCTGATGCTTTATATTTAGAATTATTACTTGCTTTCAAATGACTTTTGGAAAGTATTTAGAAAAAACCATTCAGCGCTTCAAAGGAGAGATGTCAGTATAACTGTGACTTGAAATAGTGGCATATGAATATGTAGCTTATCACTGATTCAGAATAAAAGTTGTTTCTTTTCAGAAACATCTAATAAGACTGGCTTAATCTGTACATAGTCCCATTTTTCTCTCTGTCTCTCTTTTTTTTATAATTCCTTTCATTCCTAAAATACCAGATGCCAGGTGTCAGATGCCACAGCAGAATATGAAATTAAATAAGTAGAATCCCCTTTCCAATTACTTTCTAATCCAAACCATCTTTAGTGACTTGAAAAATAGTACGTTTTAATGTTATCCTTTCAAAAAAGGAAAAGTTGGTTGATTTGGGGGGGAAAAAAAACACCCAACAACTGTAATTTGATTATAAGAAAAATACTGGTTTAACCAGAAGATACTTGGAGGGAAACTTTCAGGAATTTCACAGTAAATGGCTAAGTCTAATTAATACACACGTCTGAAACGAGACTATAGATTCTAAAAGGATGTCTTCTGAGAACTGTTGTTTCCCAGAAGTAAGCCACATGAAGAGTTCTTGAATCTCTCCTGTAAGTCTAGCAGTTTACATCAGGTAGATTGGTGGGCCACCTCTGTCCCGTTGTTCCCCCCCACCCCACCCCGCCCCGCCCCACATCCCCACTCCCCCTGCTGGTATTTCTTAGCTTAAACTTCATTAGAAAGTTCTTACAACAGAACAAAACTGTAAGCGTTAGCTACTTTTTAATACTACTTTGTTTTTAAGTAATGGATTTGATATCTCTGATCTCTAAAGTTTCTGATATTAAAACTCAGTATTTTGTTTTTCCAAAGAAAGAAAAGCTCTCTCCATAAAAGTCAAACTTGATTTGACACTCCTGAAATACTCACTGAAAAGGAGTTAGGAGAATTGTCTTTCTCGGCCTAGCAATCCATTTGAAGGGAGACTTTACTGGAGCTCTGTTTGAACGCGCAGGCTCAGCGGCCATGGCTCACGGACCCAGCCACTCCGCGGCATGTGGGATCTTCCCGGACCGGGGCACGAACCCGTGTCCCCCGCATCGGCAGGCGGACTCTCAACCACTGCGCCACCAGGGAAGCCCGAGAAGCTCTGTTCTTGATGTGCCTGCTTTGCTAGCATTCTGTCCTCACTTGCCCTGAGCCCCCCGAGTCCCTCCCTCCCTTGGGCTTTGACGGCACAGGAGCCACACTGTCCGCCAAGGCAGTGGTAATAAGAGGTTTTCTGCGCGTAGAACATTCACATAGCTTGAAGGCTTGCATAGAGGTGATAAATCAGAATTTGGCATTAAAATTTGTGGGGCAAAGGCAAGGTGGCAGCAATGAAACATCCAAATTTCGTGCCTGCACGGAGTCCTGGTGTCACGGGAGGAAGCTTCCTGTCTCTGAAACCGACCCCTCCCTGCCTTCAGCTGCTGTTCATGTTGGTTTCTGACAAGACCGGCTGTATGTACCTTTATACTAACGTGAACTTCTATAAACGTAGGTCTTTGTAGTCTTGTAACTGTAACAAAACATACGGCAGCTTCAGTGTTTGGTTTGAATCAGTTTAAAAAGATTACTGTGCCTAATTTCTGTCATTAACGTTGCTCAGATTATTAAACATAGGTAGCTTAATATTTCTGCCATATCAAATACACCTGTAATTTTAGGATGAGGTAGGTAGGTCTCTGTTGTCATGGAAAGATTCTTCGGACATATCCGTGTAAAAACAGCAGGCTATGTACCTGTGTTGCCTGATTTTAAGTAATGAAAATACGTTAACCTTCAATCTGATTCCCCTCCAGCACTCCTGTCTCAGATTCCCTTCTCATTGGCCCACATGCAGGCACGCAGGCTACAAGGGCACTTCTGTTTAGAAACCACCTTTCACCCCAGGGCCTTGACATGGGACTGAGTAGCTGTTGCTTAACTTTTCTGAGCGGATTAAAGTGTTAAAATTATAACGAGGGATATGTGTGTCCGCATTTAATGTTACGTGCATTTTTCTAGTCAGTTCAGACTTCTCAAAACACTCTTCAGCAAACCCTTCCACATCAGTGCCTTTCTTTACTGATGCCTTTGAATACTGTTCACTTTGGTGGGATTCATTCAGGGGCAACTTCTCCCATGTGGTGGTTCAGGCTGGGTTGGAAAGGAAGAAGGGCAAGAAGGTGCTGATGTATAAAATACCAGCCCTAACAGCCCAGCAGTGTGTGCCCTGGAAGCCCCCTGTGTGGGTGCTGAGAGCTGGGCCTCTTGGTCCTGAGCTGCCCAGCCCCCACTCGGGCCTCGCCCCCCGCCCCGCCCCGGCAAGCCCGGGGCACGTTCCCCTCCTCTGCTACGTGCTTGGCCTGCCCTGCAAAATAGCCCTCTGCTCAGCTGCAGTGCTGACAACAGTATCGCTTACCTACCTGTCTGGGTTCCAATGATTTCTGCCTCAAGAGGAGTGTGGCAAAACCTCAGGGAGTAAAAAGAAAAAAGTGCCCACAAATGGAGGAAAGACAGCTGTTCTACAGCCACCGTCACAAGTAGCCACCGGAATCTGATTTAAATCTGTTCACTTGGTCAGTAGCTCATCTTTGGAAAGCAAGATGCAGCAGAGGCTGAAAATGTTCTTATGTTTTTTACCCATTAATTCCACTTCTAGGAGTCTAAGAAAATACCGGAGATGTGGATTGAGAGTTCCTGCACAACGACCTTCATTGTGACATTGTTTACAGTAATACCCAAACAGGTGATATTGTATAACATTCATTTGATTCATTTGATTGGTTATGTAGGCAAGAAAAGTGTCACTGCAACTTCTTTTATCATGAAGATTATTTCATATTATGCATCATTTTGGGGGGAAGAAAGTGGGAATAAAAATGCAGCAGGCTCTTCCAGTCATAAATTGTGTGTGTGTGTGTGTGTGTGTGTGTGTGTGTGTGTGCGTGCGCGCGTGGTGTGTATTGCATAGAGAAGAGCCTGGAAGAAAATGTGCTAACGTGGTGTTGGTTTAGGAAGTGTGGCTGACTTATTTTTCTCTTCATACTTTATTAAAAGCTTTTTACAATGGCATTTCTTACTCTTGTCATAAAAATCCAAGCTTATAAGAACAACTAGTTTAAAGCTTTTTTATTTTTCTTATTCTGGCAAAATTAATAATTTTTAAGAGGAAAAAAAAGTCTTGAAATTGTCTCATGTTTTGGTAAAGAAATAACCAGAAACCCTTATATTTTCTAATCTCTTATTTATATTAGTTTCCTAGGGCTTTCATAAAATAGTACCACAGATTGGGTGATTTAAACAAGAGGAATCTATTCTCTCACATTTCTGTGGGCTAGAAGCCCGAAATCGAGGTATCGGCTGGGCCGGGCTCCCTCTGAGACCTCTAGGAGAATCCTTCCTTGCCTCTTCGTTGCTTTTGGAGGTTTGCGTGATCTTTGGTATTCCTTGGTGGGTAGAATGCACGTCTCCAATTCTTTGTCTTCACATGGCATTCTCTCCATGTCTTCATCTTCCCTTTGCAAATATCCCTGTATCTAAATTTCCCCTTTTTATAAGGACTTGGTCATGATTGGGTTAAGGCCCACCCTAATGACCTCATTTTAACCGGACCATCTGCAATGAGTATCTCCAAATAAGGTCCCATTCTGAGTTTTAGGAGCTAGGACTACAACATACCTCTTTTTTTTGGAGCGGGGGGAGACACAATTCAGCCCATAGCTGAATTTGTATATTTTTTGAAAACTTTCTTCAATTTTACTTTTTTTGTGTGTGTGTGGTACGCGGGCCTCTCACTGCTGTGGCCTCTCCCGTTGCGGAGCACAGGCTCCGGATGCACAGGCTCAGCGGCCATGGCTCACGGGCCCAGCCACTCCGCGGCATGTGGCATCTTCCTGGACCGGGGCACGAACCCGTGTCCCCTGCATCGGCAGGCGGACTCTCAACCACTGTGCCACCAGGGAAGCCCTTCAATTTTACTCTTGCTTATCAGTCTTGTTCTGTTTGTTCTGTTTTTATAATGTGATATATGAGTACCTGCTCCAGTCTTCTACTCTTACATTAAACATTTTTTCCCTTGGTAATTCCTTCCCTGTTCTGAATATCTTTATTTTCATATACTTAGTTTGATTTTTTTCCCTTATTTACTGTTTCATTACTTTATTTGAATTTTACCATAACCAAATACTGTGGAACTTTTGTCCTCCAAGCAGATCTTTTCTAAACCCTTCATGTATATCCAGTAGATTTGTTACATTCTTCTCCTTCCCCTCTAATGTAGAGCTTTATCAGTATCAGTTCAGGTGGTATATTGTTTTTCAGATCATCCACTTAAATAAGTGTAGGTAATTTGCTCATCTTTAAAAGCAGCTCCCACAAGAAATGGAAGATCAGAGAGGTGGTACTTTCCTCCTATGTTTTTCCTGAAAGGCAAAAGTTCTTCTCTGCTTTTTGGTTTTGTCTTTGGCTGATATGCTGATTCTGTTTTATGGCACTGGTGTATTCTTGGCTTGTTTCCTCTCTGCCCCCAGGCCAGCGGCCACCCCTGTGGGATGGTTATTGCCAGTCCTTTAAAGACCAGGCCTGTGGCTCCATCCCTACTGTGATACACTTTTTTAAAAAGTTTCATTTGAAAGTAATTCCAGACATAAAACATTGCAAAAATATCATAATAGTTTTTAAAGAATTGCTGATTTAACATAATAGATGACTTTATGCTCATTATAAAATTTCTAGCAATTCAGAAATATAAACTGAAAATAAAAATTCTCCATCTACACACAGAGTTTTTAAACAGCATATTAAAGGCTGAATTATATCCCTCCCCTCAGTTCATGTGTTGAAGCCCTAACGCCCAGTACCTCAGAATGCGACTGGAGACTGGGCCTTTAATGAGGTAATTAAATTAAAATGAGGCCTTTAGCGTGGGCCTTAATCCAATATGGTTGGTGTCCTTATAAGGAGAGATTAGGACACAGACACGCACAGAGGGAAGAACTTGAGACAAGCCAAGGAGAGCGGCTTTAGAAGAAACAACCCTGCCAACACCTTGACCTCAGATGTCCAGCCTCTGGAATTGTGAGAAAGATTTTAGTTGTTTAAGCCCCCCAGTCTGTGGTGTTTGTTTTAG